TTTCATTTCAGCTCAAACAATGCTTTTTAAACCCACAATGACATGTTAATGTGTCCATGGTGGGAGGGTGAGGGAGGAAATTGACTCAAAATAAATATTTTTCCCCAGTCTTTTGGATTCATCAGCCAAACAGAAAAGTACAGAGCTTAACTAGGGGGTCATGGAGCCACTAGATCTGTGTGCATCCATCATCCTGATGCAAGAATCCCTTTGGTGTTTACTGCAACTCTGTTACAAGGACACTACTTACATTCCTGGTCTTGAAGAGTTTATTGCTTTAGAAGACCATTTTAGCAGCATCTGTCTGCTAAGAACTCATGTGTGAAAAACAGAATCTACAGAACTGTCCCCCAGAAATTTTTGCCTATATATTAGGAAGACTTTTCTGATGCAAAGATGGTGGTAGGAACATGAGCTTGAAGGCTCAGATCAATGATGAAAGCACAAAAGCCATTGTTCAGAACACAACATGCTTTCACTGTGAGAAACATTAGGCTGCTAATGTTGGTAGAACTATTATGAGTCTGATATCACTTTGTACAATTTGTCTGAAAACATATTTATCCAAGAGAGCTTGATGTCTTGTGAACTTCTGGTTAGTGTATCTGATTTAACATCTATGACACAAAAGGAGAGTGAATAATATCTAAGTGATAATGAAACTAATTTGAAAAACAACGAGGCAAATTGCTGTCTGAATCTAATGAAGCTGTTTGAAAGTCTCCTGTTATAACTTTGCTGCAAAGGCTAAAACTTTTTTCATTTTAATCTGTATTGACAGCAACATCTGCAGATCAGAAATGTGAGAACCAAAATTATTTGAAGACTCTCAGGCACTTAAGAGAGACCTGGAATCCAAGTGTGTTATTGATTCTATATGGAGAAAGCAGTTCAAAACCATTTTAGTACCAGAAACAGCTCACTTGAAAGTATCGAGTAAAATATGAAATCTGTTAAAAGAAAAACAGTTGTTCATTGATTTCTAAGCTTAGCATGTCTACCCTATTCATGGATATCTGATAAGGGAGTAAACCTGTTGCATTTGTCAGACTAAATTTAGCTGCGTCTTTGCCATACACATAGGCAGGGAAGGGGATGGGCAGGGTTCAAGTGTTGAGTCCATCACTGGCTTCCTCCCAAATCTGCTTACATCACCCTCTGCATCTGCAGCTTCTTCATGACCAGACTGGCAGAGTGCACTATTGTTCATTTTATGCACCTGGTATATCCAGGTGGGCTTAGGACTCCTTCCTCCTGCTGATACTAGAAGCTGAATTGAGTAGATGCAGATGATATTGTCCCTAGATAGGTCATACCCTTTCCTACACCTGCAGATAACTCCCTGAAAGCAGGGCTCTTAAATAAAAATGAATCTTTTAACAGCTAAATATTGGATCACATGAGTAAACTGTAGAAGTGAAGGGAGTTAGGCCCTGTGTTTTTATAATTCTGGGAGGGTAGCACCAACATCAAGGACACGATACTAGTGAATAAATTGGTAAAATATATACTCCTTGTTTGTGTCATCACAAAACTTTTATCTTGAGCCAGTTTCATTTGAGCAGAACCTAACACCTGAATAAAGAAACAGAAGACATTTATCAGTATTCTGCCCCAGTGCATACACCTGTTCAGATTTTCTAGCAATGTAATTAGTTAAGGTTCAGAGTTGATTTAGAAAGCATACTACAGTGGTGCTGGAGGGTTGTCTATAAGGCCAAATATGGCTTGCATAGTCCTCCAGTGCAGCAGCCTTTGCAAGTTTATCCACTGCTTCTGTGCTATACCTGGGACTGCCACTAAAACGCATGCCTTGCTCCCTTGCTCCTGCTCAGCATTTACCAGATACCAAAAAGCAGTGTAACCACCTGAGGGAGTAGCTCTGAATGTGCACAGAGAGGGTGAGAGCAGTGCTGGTACATGTGCTCCTGACTGCACTCGGGCAGCTTCACTGTTTCATTTCTCAGGTTGCTGGGCTGGAGCGAGAACGGGGGATGTGCTGCTTGGTAGCAGTGTGAGACATGGCCTGGAGGTGATGCAGATGAAGCCCTAGTTCCCTGCATTATAGCAATGGAGGAACAACCCATGGAAACTAAAGATTTAACATTTGGTACCAAAACATTGGCTCCTTTCGAAGTGTTCCATAACCGCCTTAGGCTTCCAGGGTTAGTGGACTGAGCCAAACAATTCCTCCCAATCTACCAAGGGAATAATCTGTTGTTATACTTTCAGCAGCTGCTATTTATACTCTGGTCTGTTGAGTATACTTCTGCACTGGGACACTGGTGAGGGAAGAGGGATAAAAGTTGGAGGGACCAGCCCTTCCTCCTTTTCATTTAGGTGGGAAAGGATTGAACCAGGAAAGCTGTCTCTTTCCTGCTTTTCTTCACAGGATGTTGGTTGAAAAAGGAACCAGCTAGGCTCCTTTGCTCCTCGTTTCTGCTTTCTTTCACAGGGTGGGAGTGGTAAGAGGTATTGTGTCAGGAGAGGGAGGAGATCACCAGGGGCCCCATGGTCAGGCAGAGAATGCATGCATTCAGAATGAATTGTCTGGGTTTGTTTAATTCCTGGTTGTTTGCTATTATTTAATTATCCGTTTGTTGATTGTCTGGGTTTGTTTGTTCATGCTTTTTTTTTAAAGTAATTTGTTTATTTGGGGTGAAAACATATTGGCTAGGGACAGACATTCAAAAAGCCTGAGCCTGAATTGTGTGCGGGCTGGGAGCGATCCAGGCCCTTTTTGTGCTCCGCGCGGGCTGTGGCCAGCAGCCCGGGCACGCTGGGTCGGAGAAAACAGGTGACACACTAGAATTAGGCACGGACGTGTAATGGTTGATTCAAGATTGTTTACTTACACCGAAGATGGTCACGGTGTAGGCTGGACAGTTTCCCAGGCACAGCTCCGCTTAAATCCTTGTTTGAGGACTCAGACAATATTCAATCACTCCCACGGAGTTGTCGAGGCTCCGTGGATCCTTTTGTGCGCAGGGAGAGGGATATGTTGAGGATTGCGAACGGCGATGGGGAGAGGCTAGAGGCTGGTCAGACCTCTGTTGCCTGCTTGAAATGCACTGGGTCCAATAGGCTCCGCAGCGCTTAGAGATCTTCACACAGCGTGAAGTCTCCTCCTCCTGGTGTTTGTGGAGTCCTCCAACTTGGGCGGAAACCACTCAAGCTTTTTATACGGCTAGCAAGTCAATCACTAGCCGCCACGTGTGAATAATTTCACGCAAGCCAATAATGGGGCTCGAATTATAATACAAATGGCAGGAACTCTTTGCAAAGTGCATTTCTGTGCTGCAAAGACAAATCAGTTTGTAACTGCACGGATATCCCAGACATGCAGGCACATGCCTGCAGTGGCACAGGCTAGAAGCTGGGGGGCACTAGAGCAGCCCTCCCTTCCTTCCATAGTGCTGAGCTGAGCAGGGGGGGAGGAGGGTGGCCAGGCCTGAGCAGGATGCTCTGATTAGGGAGGGGTTCCCCCCACACCAGCCCATCAGGGAATTGATAATAGAGTGTTTATCACTCCATTAAGAAAACAACAGAAGGACATTACTAGATACCTGCTGATTCTGCCTTTATCGTGTCTAGCACAGCATGGACCATAGCTAGCATCTGGTTTGCTAGCTAATGCTAAGAGGTGTCTGTGTAAGGCAGAGGGGAAGGGGCAATTCCTGCTTAGCAAGGGAACTCCAGGCAGATGCCTACAGTCCCTGCCAGAGCTGCAGTCAGGGAGCAGAGGGGAGGGGACAGCCCTGCTGTGAAGTAGAGAGCCCCGCCCAGCCCTGAGAGCATGCTGGGATTTTGGGGGAGTCTGATTTAACTTTAACCCTGAAGGAGGCTGGGACAGACATTGCATAAACTGGTTTGACCCAAATCAGTTAAGTCTGATACTACATTCAACCAGGTTTATCTCAAACTAATTTCAGCCATTTTCAAACTGGTTTATGTGCACTGAACATCTGTTCTGTTACAGGTTTAAACCAGTTTCTGATCAGTTAAACAGGTTTGTGTGTAGCTTCTGTCCCTAGCTATTATATGAAAATTTTTTGAAATTTGTGAGAGATACATTAGATATTTAAAAGGCCTCTTTCAGGATGGGAACTATTTTTCTTATATGTTTAGCTAGTACTAAGCATAGATCTATTCAATAAATACGTGCTCTTTTCATAATCATATATAAACTAAGAGAGGTAGTTAGCTGCATTGGTCTGAATTCAGGAAGAAGGCAGGGTAGAGGTAAACCTTATAGATTAACTGAGGCTAGGTACAGACATTCAATAAGACTGAGGTGGAATCGATCTAAGTTTTGCAGTTTTCTGTAAGTGGCATAGGTTAGATCGGTAACCAACAGAACACATTTGCCCTTTGAGGGAGGGAGGCGGTAATCTTAGACCAGGTTCTGCCATTTTTAAATCAGTCTATGTGTTCCAAACTTCAGTTCTGTTACGGGTATAGACCAGTTTCTGATCACTTATACCAGTAAAAGTGTAATTGTCTGTATCTGGCCTGAATCAGAGATGCACAAGTTTCATAACCAACAGCTCATTTCATCAGATGTCTAACTTCAGGCAATCACTTTCTGAGATTATTTTCTCTAGGCGTTATGAGCTTGAGCTGATGTTTGCAGACACTGTACCAAATGCTCTGTTCAAGAGTGTGTTTGAATGAAGTTAATATTTTGCACAGCTTTTAAACACACATCTGCATTGTGTGTTTAAAAGCTGTGTTTAAACACATATCTTCATAACATGATTTCCCATTTTACTTTCTTCATGTGAAATAAGAGGTATGAATGTTTTGTATTACTCAAATATTATCTTTTGAATATATTTGTGCATAGCGAATTAAAACGCTCAGGGCAGTTTTCAGTCAAACAAATACATTTTTTCATTCTCTGATTAACTGTTGCTCTATAAACCAAGTGTGAAACCACACAGAACAGGACACTCTTATGATGTCTGCATTTCTGAAGTATTGATACAAATTTAAGGTACCGTAATCTGCATGCCACTGAGAAGATTTCTCTTGCCGAGATGACTGAATTCTCTTACGCCCCAACCAATTTCTCCAGCATAGCAATGTCTGTGGGCTGGAACAGTAGGATTGTGTGAAGACGGCCGCAATAGATAATCAAGATCACTTGTGCCTTCTAGTGCTGGAGATGTCGCTCCTATGTAGCGTGTATAATTAGGCTGCTTTGTCCTGTAATCCCATAGAGCATCTGGGCCTTGGAAACAAACAGAATTAAAAATGTGGTTATAAAAAGTACAAGGATTACCTTGTTTACTAGCCTATTTCAACATGCTTTGTTCCAGCTTTGGTTTCATTGAATTTACTTTAATGCAGCAATTTTAAAAATCAGGGGTGCCCATGCCTCAAAGGCATGTGGCCTGTGAGGCAATAATGCACTGCCCCTGCACTCCTAGCTCACTGTCACACTCCCTATTGCTCCTGGTGTCTCTATTCTCCCCCTCTATTTTTCAGCTTTTGCTTATTACTCTTGTCATAGGTTAGGTCCCAAATGCCAGTGTTGGGCAGCTGAGGGAGATGGCTGGGAATCATTTATAAATATTAGGAAAAGTTACTGTAGCAAAATTTCTAGCTTGATGAACAGGGACTACAGCAGTGAATTGCTTGACTGCTGTGTGCTTGTTCCTACTGGGAAGTTAATGTGTATTATGCTGAAGTAGGCAGACAAGGTTCTTTGGGTGAATCTGATATCTTTTATTAGACAAACTTAAATAGTTGGAAAAAAAACATTTTTAAATCAAGCTTTTGGGTTCAAAAACCCTTCGTCAGGCTAAGGAAGTTTCAGCAGTTGGTGTGTGCGCTTCCTGGATGGAATGAAAAGTAGCCAGAGGCTGGGCTGGTATGCATACGAGACAGGCAGTCAGTGAAGATGTAGATTGAGGAGTCAATGGGTGAGAGAGAGGCTGGGTGGGGGGGGAGAGAAGTAGGCTGAAGTATGAATTTACAGAGCATTAGTGATTATTCCACATTCATTCCCTATTTAATCTATCTTTGTGGGCACATCTACACAAGATGCTTACTGCACAGTAGCCTAATAACATTGCACAGTAGTATGCTGGGCAAAACCAATGTTAATACGCTACTGCTCAATGTTATTAGGCTATTGCTCAGTAAGCATTACTAAAAAACCTTGCACCAGTGCTACTGTGTATTGAATTAGTACTTGGTTAACCAAGTATTAAACTTAATGTGCAGTAACTACGGTTCAGTAATGAACATGTAGATGCACCCAGTGTACACTTACTGCTGTCTTACTCCAACTTAAAAGTGGGGTACTTTTCCTCATTTTTACTGTGATCTCAGAGTGTCCATGTACAGAGTGAATCACAGTGTAACTGCCAAGCTGTAAATTCATATTCTGTCCACTTCCCCATGGAGGTGGGCCCTGAGGCTCTGCATGTGCTTTAGAAAGTCACTTAAACTCATTGTTCCTCAGATTGTTATTGTGGAGATTATCACCATCTCTCAAATTGGGAATAATAAACTGCTTTTGAAATACATATTTGAAACAAAGTGTTAGATATTCTTGTATTTAGAAGATTATCCTTGCAACAAGAGGAGCTAGAAACGTACATAATAATAAAAAATTGCAAGCGGAGATCAATACTAGTACATTTAAAAGTCCCAAATGCCGATGGTTCTTTGCGCCTTTGAAGGGTCATAAGGCTGGTTCTGCCTAATGGCCAATTAAACTAGGGCGTAGCTATCTACAGTAGATGGGACCTAATCATATTATTTTAGCCACATTCTTTAGCAGGGTAATAGCACTATCTGAAGAGCACTTTCCAAAATATGGTTCAATCACATGCAGTGGGGGACTGTTTAACCAGCTTTGGGAACCCACACCACTATGATGTTCCCATTGTATCAATGTTTCAAAGGATAGCTGCATCAGAAGGAAATACCATAACCAAAACATTGTTTGTTGGGTCTTTCTGTCTTTGTACTTAGATATGGTTAATATATTTATGTTTAGGCTTCTAAGTGGCTAGGGTTCCAGAACTATTACAAAGAAGTACAGTAAAGGAAGAGGAAGGAATTGAGGAAGGATGAAGGGAAAATAAAGAGAGTAAAATGGGAAGAACTTTATGATAGGATGGAACATTTTAGCATGTGATTCAGGTATGGCTATGAGCAGAGAGGGCAATAAGTGAGAAAACGTGATATTATCAGAGTTTAATTGTCATAATATAATACAACAGAAATGGATGCCCCTATCTTGAAGAACTAATTTCCAGCTATAGTGTGCTGAGTCCCTAATATTTCTTTTGGCTTTGTTCTTGTTTGTCAACTGTGCCAATGATATTAGTACTCCATTAAACATTTCAGCTTAAAAAGTATTTTTTTCCCAATTACAGTTTTGTTGTCTGGATTTCAGAGGAACCAGTTTCTTTAAATAATCCATAGAAATTCCATTGGTATAAATGTTGCTTGTTACTGTAAGATTCATTCATTGTAATGAACATATTCGTTTTTCATAAAGCGAAGGCTGTACTTTCAATCTTTCCTTTTAGAATGTGGAAAACAATAGCCAAAGCAGGAGCAATTATAAACTCTGCGAGAGTGAGAAAGCAGATGGATTGTGTCTTTCACTCTGCAAAAGCCTTCATGCTGAATCCTGAGGGAATATCCTCCTGTCATATTGCTCCAGCTGTGATCAGCAGAGGCACTTGAGCAAGATCCCCCTTGTTATAAATGAGAGGAAACTGTCGGCTGTACATTCCCTGTGGGGATCTGACATCTCTAGAACGTGTTCCAAAATAGCCCAATGCTCGAACCTACTAGGCACAATGAAAGATACATTTGTTTGATTGGCTTTTTGGATAGGAAATAACGGTACATCCCCAGAATGACAAAGGGGGAATGGGGCTTCTGAGTTTTGAATAAGCTGGCAAAGTTCCTTTGGAAATAATTAGTTATTTAATGCTGCCGAGGATTTGCTTTTCTTTTGTTTGTTGGCAAAGTGATTAACTGGGTCAGAAATGTCAGTTCTGTGGTGACTCTTTTTAACCTGGTTTGTTAAACAGTGTGGGTGGGTCCCCACATGCAGGGGTGCCACTTACAGAGGCACAAATAGCAGCGGCACAAATTTGTGCCACTGCTTTGTTCCTCATTGTATGCGCTTCAGCATACAGGTAGGGGTAGGGGAGGCTGGGGCCAGCACCTGGTGGTCTGGTGGTATGCTGGAGCAGCAGGGGCAGCACAGAGGCCTAACCAGCAGCTAGATCATTGCTCTGGATGGCCTAGCCCCTGTTTGTGCCGGCACATGTTGCTTTGCATGCATTGCGCCACTTTTTGTTCTGGCACAGTTTTTTTGCTGTTAGGATTTCCCAGTAGCAATTTTTGCCACCACACTGCAAGTGCAGTGCACATTCGACATTCTCCATGTGCAGTTTGTGGCACTGCACGTGGGGACCCGTTCTATATGTCCAGCCCTATAACTTACAAAGGGACGTGTTCTGATGAGCTATTTTTTATTAATTCCATGTGCGGATGTTTTTAGTCCAAAATAAGAGTACCTGGTTTCTGTTTAGCTGGAACAAGGATCTCTCATTCCAGAATAAGAGTGTCCACACATGGTATTATTCAGGAATAGTTATCACACACCCAGGCTTAATCAGAAACAACTTTGAAGTATAGACAAGCCCAGCTAATATTCCTGACAATACCTGTTGACTTCAATAAGAGTTGACAAAGGAGCTCAACAGCTCAGAAAACTGGGCCTTGTGCCTAGGTACAGAAAACTAATGATAAAACTGCCTACTGGTTATTCTTTCCTTAAAATAATGAACACATTCTTATAACTGCATTACTTCTTAAAAATTAATTTGTGATGCTAGGAATTGACAGACGCTGAAAAGTTACTGTCTAATAGAAACTTTACTGTGTTAAATATCACTACAGTTTGTGCCTGTGTACACCAGTTAAACCTGATAATCCTTTGTAATTATTTTTTTATTGTTAGCTTTCCTCCAAAGCTAAGAGCAAAATTCCAGAGTCGTTTTAGGATATGCTCAATTCTTGGCGCTTCCATAAACTTCCTTTGGACCTTGGACAAGTCAATCAGTTTCTCTATACCTCAGCTTCCATCTGTAAAATGGAAACCATAGCATTTCCCTACCTCACAGGGGAATGAGGATTTTTTTGAGAATAAATACATGAAGGCAGTGTGGGGCACTCAGATACAACAGTGAAGTGCCACATATTTAAGATCGATAACTGCCTCTCAGATCTATTGTCTGTGCCCATGGGTGCACTATGATGTCTTTTTACTGCTGTTTTTATTTTCTTTAGCTTTCCCCATCAACCTGATTCTCAAAACCTTATCAGAGCCTGGGGCTTGAACAAAGCAGAGGAAATGGAGGAGCAGAAGTTAACTTTAGTATTCAACCACCTGCCAGCAGTCCCTCAAGCAGTCGCCAAGGCTCTCCACAACAGAGGCTGGAATGATATAGTACAGGAATGAAGGAGTCATGTTAGGTCAGTTTTATTGTACAGTTGCTCTGGTTTATCTTCCTTGCTTCCTGACAAAACAGCTTCTAAGTCCATTTGAGGGATAACTTTGACCTTTGGGCTGTCAATCATGTCAGGAGACATAACAGTTGAACAATCAGAATTCCTGTAACATAGCTGTGGAGGTGTGTGGGCATGTCATTTTTAAAATTAGAACATACCAATATGATGCCAGGAGATATTTTTAAAATCAGAAATAGACAATTTACTGTAAAAGTAATTTCTGTTTGTTTTACCATTTTAAGGTGACTTATTTTTAGTGAGAAGGCAGGGGAGTCTGACTGGTTTCCGACTACCATGGCTAGCCACCTCTATTTTAAATTAATCACATAGCCTTTAAATCACATGAAACTGAACAGTAATATTAAATCCAGCTAGAGCATTAGAAAACTGAAATAAGGATTTTAGTGTTTTATACTAAGCATGGTATAATGCATATGAATGTTATGTTAATCTTGAATAAATTCACTAGGCTCTAAATCTTCATTATACAGTTAAAAGCAATAGCACCCAGTAAATTATGATGTGAAGTTTATTTCACACTTTACTTACACTTCATTGCTCTGTGTCACTAAAAGCAAACATGCACATTAAGCTGGACTAAAGCTGTGATTAAGCTGTCTTTGATGCTTTAAAAATAACCTTGACTATTACCCTTGTACCAAAATTGCCTGACAGTAATCATTTACTGTGCTACTAGCCTGTGAACAAAATCATCACAACTTTACAGGATTAAAGATGGTTGGGATGAAAAAATTCCTTTCCCTTTCCATTCTCAAAAAGAGTGCTCTCCACAGAAAAAGTTGCTTGAAAGAGTGCATTTGGGGTCTGACAAACTGTCAGTGAAGTCAGTGGGAATCTGTCCACTAATTTCAGTAGCAGCGTACCGTGCATTCACAGGGCAGAAACATTCCTGGCATAGTATGTAGCATGGGGATTCAAAGTCTGATTGGCTCAAATACCATATTTACTTCCATACCACATGCATCTTTTCCCTAAAACTTAGCCTTCCAAAATTAGAGCCCATGCCTTACCCATGACAGACAGATGCATGGAAATGCTGTAAGATAGCTGTTGCTTCTTTTACTTGTCTTCTGTCTGGGAGTCTCGTGGCAGAAGGGCAGAGCTCAGCAGAGGCAGATCCAATGGATGCAGTCATGCAGTCATACCCTGCTTTGATTCCTGCTCCAGCCAAAATTTAAACCTAACTGCCCAGCAGCAGCAATGGCACTTCTATTCAGGCAATCCTGAGGGAGTTGATTGACTTGACAACTTATTATAATCTATTTTAGGGGTGCCAAACAAGCCAGATCCAGGCCAATGGAGCCATATGATCCAGTTTGTGGGTCTTGGATCTAGCACTACAGGCACTGCCCACAGCCCAGGGGGCTGGTACATCCAATCTATCTTGCATATGGCATGGAGCCCATGCCGACTCCACTCTGGGGCCTGTGCTGCAGGCAGTGCATGGGCTGGACCTGGTGCTATACATGCTGCATGTGGTACCCAGGCCTGATCCCTGGAGAGGGGCTGATGCACATGGGGAGTGAGCTGAACATAGTATCCCACCAAACAGGCCTTCTCTCTGGCTCTGGCATGGCCCAATCTGGCTCAAAGACTGGCCTGACAATGCTTATCCAGCTTACAGGGCTGGAAGAGGTTGACACCCCTGATCTATCTGATTCCAGACAGGTTAATGCCCTCCTCTCCTTTTCAATGCTCTTCATTTTCAACCAATCAAGCTGTACTTTGTTGATAATTTTGCTATCTGTTGGTTGCTCCTGATCTCTCTTCTCCTACTTCACAGTTCTTCAAACTGTTTTTAGCTCCTTTTAGAATTCTAGGTATGCCCATGGAGTTCAGACATCAGCAGAAGCTACAGTTTCAGCTTTTGGCTCAGCAGCCAAAAGTTGTTGCCAGTTTAGCTGTGAAAGAATGAAATCTGTATCTTTTTCCTGTGAAGGAAAGGGAGGATGAGTAAGCTGAAGATTGTGGTCTGTCCCTGCTGTATACAACCATAACCCTGGAAAAAACATTTTTCTTTCATTCTGCCTTCCCAAAACAAGGTGCGTGTCTTTTATTTTATTTTTTTTGGGGGGGTGGGGGGGAGTATGTGTGGTATGTGAGAAAATGCAGTAGCTAGAAATCTCCCATTGCTGGATATCAGTTTTAGCATTAACAACACAGACAGGCTGGCCATTATATTGCTTGGTGTATGCTAGCATTCCCAGTATTGCTCTTAATGATGGTAGTACCACACTGAGGATTTTCCAGGAAAATGCCATTGCAAATACAGCTTCATATGTCATACGAACAGTTTGCTGGCAGCCCTATCAATTTATGCAGAATAGAAATTGCCTTGTATAATAATGCTAGCCATTAAAAGGTGCAAAATGTTGTGAATGCAAAGGTGTACAATACAGAGCCTGGAAAGAGAAAATGAAACAAAAGATCTAAAGTCCCTGGCCCTGCTTTGCCAGCACAGAAGGTCGTAAGTACAACCTAGAGGCTGTGTTCTTCCCTGGGCAAGGGAAAAGAATACATAAGTGAACAAAGAGGCCATACAAAACAAAAAAGGAGGGTTTTAGTGCCATGATATGAAGAGTGAAGGGACATATGTAATAAACATGCTTTAAAGAAAATTCATGTAGGGGATGTTAAGGGAAAGAATGTATGAGGATTAAAATATCTTTGACAAATAGTTTACTTTTTCCATGCAAAACATGAAGTTTTGTTTGCTAATAATATTAAAATTCCTCAGCTTGATGCCTGAAAGCTTCTCTGTGGCTCAAGTTACACATGGTTTCATGTTTATCCCTTCCTTACACATGGTCAGAACTCATCCAGGTGCTACAGGGCTTACCTATAGGAAGTCTCCCCAATAGTACTCCCAGAAATCTCTGTTTCTGACTGGTCTTTCTGTCCTTTTCATTCTGTCTCTATAGGACTTAGAACCCAGCACACAGTGAAAGGCAAGTAGAAGGACTCTGCTTAAATAAGAGGAAGCTGAGAGGTTTGTTCTGCTAAGGTGAGGACTGGATTTGAAAAAAGAGAACTCAACTCTAATCTCAATTTGGCTACTGATTCAACCTGAAAAATTCCTGAGTGAACAGTTTCAACCATATGCACCCAAAATAATTTCTCTTGATTGATTCTGTTCTACCATTGTGGGTGATACTTCCAGATCAAAAGGCCTTCCAGTAAGGACACTGTACTTTGCAGCTATAAACATAGGGATTGTTAGGAGCTGAAGCCTTGTCTGTATGCAATTCTTGCACCTGTTTCAACAAAATCAGTTTTAAAATAAGCTTCTTAAAACATATGTTGACTTGTAAAGATATACTTTAAATCAATTAAAATCAATTTAAACACTTAAAAGCCAATTTCAGTCTGTCCATGACTGAGGATGGCTATACCTATGGGAGTATCCTGTACAAGATGATGATAATGACTTAACTTTTGCAGCACCTATTTCACAGTATCAGACTTCCTAGACAATTTTAGGAGTAAACATTGACAGGGAATGCTTAAAGGGCTGCCATGAGACTACCTAGTGTCATGACCCAAAGGCATGATTTTGTGTGTGCTTCGGCACCAGAATTATCCCCGCCAAGTTGCAGAGCATTGCACGAGAGAGTTTCCTGTTGCAGAGGAAAACCCCGGTGCAGGGACGAGTTTCCCGCCTTTTCTGCAGCTTCTTTTGCAGAGTGCATTGCTCATGTTGCAAGAGGAATGCACGGTGCAAAAGAGTTCCCGCCACCGGTATGTAAATTCGTTCCCCGCTATTGGCTAGTGTTAAATTATTCACACGTGGCGGCTAGCGATTGGCCTGTTAGCCGTATAAGAAGCTTGAGCAGTTTCCGCCCAAGCCGAAGAGGACTCCACATCCATCTCGTGGGGACTCTGGGTACACGGCAGGGTAATAGAAACCCTGTGTGAGATCCAGAGGAGCTTGGCGGCCTGATCCACCGCCCACCTCTTCCCGTCTTCGAGCGCGACTTTTATAAGACGTATCTACGATTCTCATTTTGGTGGCTCGTTCACCCAGAGCATCCGGAGCTCTGTACCGTGGAGCCTAGCAACCTCCACGAGACCGTCTGTGTTGTCTGTCTGTAACTGCAACTCAATCAAGTTTTCCAGCCTACACCACTGCCATCTCGGTGTAAGTAAACAATATTTAAAACTACCGATACGCGTTTGTGCCTAATTCCAGCTCGATGGCCTTCCCTCTCCAACCCGGCGTGCCCGGGCTGCTGGCCACAGCCCGCGTGCAGCGCGAAAAGGGCTCGGGTCGCTCCCGGCCCGCACAATACAAAAGCAAACAACAAGGTAGTTAGAGCCTATATCAAACCCTTTGAAAATGTTCATTAGTGTTATACCAATATCAGTCACACACATACTATGATTTCCCCAGGTATGGAAGTGCACTCCTTTTAGATGTACCTTGGAAACCCAATAATACAGTCATTATTAAACACCTGATGAATGGACTAAATTATACAAAAAAAGTCAAGACTCTTAGGGCTTTTGTTTAGATCTTCTGCTATTGTTAATTCATCCTATACAATTATACTAAGAACTCAAAAATTCACTTGTTTCCTTAACTGCATTCTCTCTGAAAACTCTGAGAGTCAACAGCAATAGTCTAATAGCAATCCCCACTGAATGTCAGGAACAATGACAGGGGATATCACTTGCATTTAGGGGCAGAACCCTTTATGCACCCAGCTGCTATTTTTGACACTTAAGCAGTTTGCAGTCTGACTCTATGCAAAGTAGGCTGAATTCTGATGGGGTAAGAATGTGGCTCCATACGTGTGCAACTGTCAAATTATGGATTGGCAAAAGCAGGAAGGAGAGTCCTTCTGCATATTAGTTCAATAGTCAAATGTCTTGGACACTCATGCAGGAGGCCCAGGTTTTAGGATCTGTCTCATCCAGGTGGGATTTAAACTTATGTAGCTCCAACTTCACAGCACCATGCTATAACCACCAGGCCACAGGTTAGGCATTTCCCAAGCTTTTCTCCAGCCCCACTCTTGAAGCTGAGCCAATGCACTTTGTATTTAATATTCATTACATAAAATGCATGGAAAACAGTAGGAAAAGTCCTGCCCTGTCAGAAGCCAGGCTAATATCCACGTTGTGTTTCCTTCTAGAGGAGCGTTCACCTCACTGAGCAATGTAGACTGCTGTCGGGTGAAAAAATAAACCCAAACAAACTGCGTTTTACAGGAAGCAGCAGCACGTTAGCTCAACCCAGCTCTGCAGCATCTGTATAAATTGCACACTTCAGCAGGGCTTTTTGGCACTTTTATCTAATAGCTGATTCAAACAGCTATTAGATAAAAGCACCAAAAAAGCCCCACTGAAGCACCTAATCTATACAGACACTGGGCAAGTCAGGTCAAACTAATGTGCTGCCTCTTCTGGGCATTCACTCGGCTTGGCATGACGGTGCATCAGGTTTAAAGTAAAGCTCCGGGTTTTGTTGGGTTTGCGGGGGGGGGAGGGGAGAGAGAGGGGGCGTTACATCTGTAAGCTGCTCAACTCTATATCTTACTCTCTTCCCCCTGCCCCCTCATAGCTTCTTTTCTTAGGTGCCTAGGGAGCAATCCAGAAAAGGAAGATTGGAAATGGCCTAACCTGCATCCTGGTAGCTTGGGTCCTGTGCTGAATATATCAGAGAGGTGCAGGCTCAAATCCCTTCTGGGGGAAGAGAGCCTAGAGCCTATGTCCCTCCTTCCTGTGTGATTGCCTTAACCACTGTGCTATTGGGCTAAAACAGCCTTGCAGCTGCTAGGAACTGTCATGACCCAAAGGCATGATTTTGTGTGTGCTTCGGCACCAGAATTATCCCCGCCAAGTTGCAGCTTCATTGCACGGGAGAGTTTCCTGTTGCAGAGGAAAACCCCAGTGCCGGGACGAGTTTCCCGCCTTTTCTGCAGCTTCTTTTGCAGAGTGCATTGCTCAAGTTGCAAGAGGAATGCACGGTGCAAAAGAGTTCCCGCCACCGGTATGTAAATTCGTTCCCCGCTATTGGCTAATTCT